ACTTGTGTACATTAACTATGAGATGGGAGAATAAATTTTGTTAGAACTATGTTAACCCTGATACTGACGCTGACAAGATGTGTTGGGATTACAGTTTTATCAACAGACAAACAATTTTAATCACTCATTTTTTTTATAGATAATAGTAAAAATATTTATTTTTTCTTCTTTCACTTTACGTGTAAGTCAGTTTTCTAATAAAACCGCCCTATGCTGCATCTTTTTTTTTAGCCAACATTGTAGAATTATTTAAAATGTGAGTGTAAATCAAGATTAACTTCCTCCTTCATAATAAATTACTCCTTTAATGGTGCTTTTAGATGCATGGAGATTTTGATTCAATCCAAATCCTCGATTTAGATAAAAACAAAATATCAGATTTGGATTTTTTATTTTATTATACTCTTTCTATTAAAAATATATAATTCATGTTTAATCAAATTTTAAATCTAAAAAAATAGATACTTGTCTTTCAACTAATACTTTTTTTTTCATATTTATCTATATTCTTATTCAATAGGGTGCTTCATTTTAAAATAAATATAAAATAACCTATTCAATAGAGTAGTTTTGAAAAAAATGCAATAATTATGTCTTAAAATATTAAAAATGTCTTACATTTTTTTTATATAAAACTTCACAAAAAATATTTTATATTTTTAAATGAAAGAAATGACTTTTATATTGTTTCAAATCCCCCCAAACTCTTGTTATTTGAAATTTTACATATTAAAATCTTGTATTTTTTTGCATTTTTTATTATTGGTGCTTCTATTATTCTTTCCACTCCTCTCAAATCTCATTCTCATCTATTGCTGATTGAAGAATAAATATAAACTCATCATTTTTAATCTTTTATTTCTACTTTGAAATCTCAACTCTCTTTCTTTTTACCTTTAAAATTTTTACACTATCCAAACAAAATATTTAAATACATGAATTTTAAATATAAGATTTTAAATTTAAAATTTAAATTTAAATTTAGCTATTGAAACACAATATAAGTGTTTTGTTTGAACTTCTTATGTTTCTTTTTTTAAAACTTAGAACTGCTTGACTGACTTCACCTGTGCTTTTATAATTGGTCCTAATGAAGAGGCTTTGTTTTAAACCTTTAATAAGTAATATAAAACCCTATGGAAATTATCCTGCCATATCCATGGATAACTAATGGTGGAGTCAAGACACGGAGTCAGAGGTGCGAGATAGTCTAATAAAAAATTAATATTTTTTTAAAATACTAATTATATTATAGGACTAAAATTATAGTAACATAAATAAATTGATTATTATTTTTCTTCTTAAAAATTATAATGACCAAGTTGATATGATCCTTTATGTAAAAATGTTCTTTATATCTAATATAAATCATTAAACTATTTTACATCTAATAAGTTTTAAATTTAAATATTTTTTATTCAATCTAAAGGGGGCAAAGGATCAAAAATAAGCAGTCAAAAGTTTAAAAATTTTTATACCATACTTGTAATATTTTTTAAAGTGAAGGGTGCATTTTCCCCCTACCATGCGGCTCACCACCTTGGATAACACACAGCTTCTAAAAAAAAAGTAATTAGATTGTTAATATTTTAATTTTTTTAAATCCTTCCTTTATTTAATGCATGAGGAATTAGAGTTGAGAATACGGGCGGGCCCAACCCTTAAGGGCTTGGTCCTTATGGGCTCTGCCCTTTAGGGCCTAAAGCCCTAAAACTCGGTTTCTCATTTTGACCCCCATTTTTAACCCGGCCCTTATACTCAGGGCTCAGGGCCAGGCCTGTAAGCCCTTTTTTAAAAAAATAAAAAAAATTAAAATAAAATTAAACATTATAAATAAATTAAAATATTTTAAAATTAAAAAAATTAAAATCATCATAATTTTTTAGAAATTAAATAACATACATTAGAAGTCTAGTAATAAAATTTAAATCTTCATTTAAAAAATAGTTCATTTTTTTTATAAATATACAAACATAATAATTATAGAAAAATAAAAAATATCATAAATTTTATACAACGCACTGATATTTATTAAATTATATTAAATTAATTTTAGAATAAATTAAAATTAATAATAATATAATGTATGTAGGATCAGATGAGTAGGTCATTGATTTTAAATACGTGTTTTACTAAAAAAATAATAATAAAAATAATATAACAGGGCTTGAAGGGTAGCCCGGGCCCGAGCCCTATTTTACTGGGCTTATCAGGGCCAAACCCTCAAACCCGATTACTTTAAAAAAATTTATTTTCAAAGCTTGAACCCTTATTTAAATAGGGCCCTCTAGGCCCGGCCCTTATTCTCGGCTCTATGAGGAATGGATTATATTGATAGAGTCGTGAAAAGTAATTTCAATGTAGAGCATTTTTTGTAAAAATAATGCTAATATTCTTAAAATTTGTAAAATATCTTCTAAATTACAGTATAGATCACCAAAAAAAATTAAGGAAAATATAGCTTTAGATCTCTTCAATTTGCTTAAGTTTTATTATAGATTCCCATGTGTTTTTTGCTTTATAAAAAATAGGCTATTCCAACCCGTATTAACCCACCTAAGTCAACCTAGCTTGTTTTGGAACAAGCCAAAACAGGCTATGCATGGGTATGGGTTATAGGCAACCCCTCGAGCTGGCTCGTCCCGCCTCATTACACAACCCTATCTCTAAGTGCAAATTGATTGACAACAAATTTTCTTCAAGATATAACGAAGGCCCTTGAGATGAATTGCACTCTCTAAACTCAAGCCAAAATAACAATAATTTTTATAAAGTGATAACTTAACTTCATGTCTCATACACTTAAAGACAAAGATAATGAGTTTCAATACTTAATTGTTGATGTAAGTAATGCGTAATGGCAAGGGATATTTATGACAAAAAAAATTTGAAATGATACCTTTTAAATAGTAAAGCTCTTTCCTTAAAAATCATAACCTTATGTGGGTTCACGAATTAGCATAATTTAATAATTAATATTAATCAAGAGTTATTTATATAGCCTTTTATGAAAGGAAACGTCCTTTTGAAATGTAGAGTTTTTTTTTCAAATAATATTTTCTTTTATCAAGTGATATTTTTTAGTTTTATAACTTTTTAAAAATGCATTTAGAAAATAGAAAGACATCATCTTTGCAACTATAACTTCCGAAATAATCATTCATAAAAAAATTTTAATTTATGAAGGCACGATTCTTCAAAAAAGACATATTTGCTCTTAAAATATTTCAATAATTTTTTTTGTCATTTGGTTAAAATGGTCAATTTTTTTTAAAAAATTCACGTGATAGAAGAACATGTATAACTCCCATTAAACAACAGAAGCCGAAAATCCATAGTAAATATAGGAGAAAAATTTAGAACCTATAATTAAAATACATATGCGGAACCCATGATAAAATTAAAATAAATTTACATTAATTGTAAAAAAATAGGTATACAATGCATCGAACTTTTTAAAATATTGATTTAATAAGACAATAGTTTCTTTTTAAAAAAAATCTCTTTATTTCGAAAAATGTTTGTGCCATCTTTCCTCGATATACAACAAACAATAATTGAAAATAGTAACTTCTTTTTTCTTCCTGTCAAATCAAGAACATGCACGTGTTAAAATTAGAGTTGGTGACAGCCGCATCACTGCGAGGAGCAACGTTTCGATGTAGAGCTAAGAATAAGGGTCCGGCCTGGAGGACTGGACCTGAAAGTCCTATTTAAATAAAGATTGGGTTTTAAAAATAAATTTTTTTTAAAGTAATCAGGTTTGAGGCTTGGTCCTGATAAGCCCAATAAAATAGGGCTCGGGCCCGGACTACCCTTCAAACCCTGTTATATTATTTTTATTATTATTATTTTTGGTAAAACACGTATTTGAAATCAATGACCTGCTCACCTGATCCTACATACATTATATTATTATTAATTTTAATTTATTCTAAAATTAATTTAATATAATTTAATAAATATCAGTGTATAGTATAAAATTTATGATATTTTTTATTTTTCTATAATTATTATGTTTGTATATTTATAAAAAAAATGAACTATTTTTTAAATGAAATTTAAATTTTATTACTAAACTTCTAATGTATGTTATTTAATTTCTAAAAAATTATGATGATTTTAATTTTTTTAATTTTAAAATATTTTAATTTATTTATAATGTTTAATTTTATTTTAATTTTTTTATTTTTTAAAAAAGGGCTTACGGGCCTGGCCCTGAGCCCTGAGTATAAGGGCCGGGCTTGAAAAATGGGGTCAAAATGGAAAAACAAGTTTTAGGGCTTAGGCCCTAAAGAGCCGAACCCATAAGGGCCGAGCCCGCCTGTATTTCAACTCTACACAAGCATAATCTTTATTTTATCAGTGCTCCCAAATAATAACATTATATACATACGAACTCCTAAAGTTACGTTCTCTCAAGCCATTTTTCCATGGTCAATATAATGTAACTACTTGATCATAATGAATCCAATTGCTTAAACTATGTCTTTTTTTAAATGTTATCGTCTCCAAATTAATCTAAAAATCGTATCAAAATTATGACTCCCATCCAAAGTAATTGAAATTATGTGTAAACTCTAATAGCCAAATCGTATGTTGAATAAACAAGCATTTAATTTTCTTAAAAAAAAAGGTAACGATTTTGAACTGTTGAGTTCTAATTTAACAATTAAATCGCGTATGAAGAGATGATTTGATAATATCAGGATGTGATTCATACCCATATGTACACAAACATACATACAGAAAAAATATACGATTATTAAGGGAAAATATATAATAATAATAAAGCCAAAATTTTGTTTTAGTGATGATGATGTAACCGCAAACGCCAAGAGCTACTGTTACCCCAAAAAAAAAATCCTAGTGCTCCGAAAAGCCGTACAGGTTCAATGAACATACATCGTAGAGCAACCTCACTGTTTGAAGTAGCTCGTCTAATTTGTTCTATAAAGAGCAGTGCCATTTACGGTTTGCTTCACAAAGCAATACGCAATAGCAGCCATCTCCTCATTTTCTCTGTTGTATCACAATCATCTTCCATGGGAGAGGTTGACGTAGCCTTCATCCAAGAACCTCACCACAGACCCAACCCTTCACTCATACAAGAGGCCCAAGGCTTCCCTCTCATCGACCTCTCGTCCCCCGACGTTGACGCCCTCGTTTACGACATCGGCCATGCCTGCAAGCAGTGGGGCTTCTTCCAGATCATCAACCATGGCGTTCCGCCGGAGCACCGTCAGAAGCTGGAGGAGACGGCGCGCAAGTTCTTCCATCTTAGCCTCGACGAGAAGAGGAAGGTCAGAAGAGGCATCGGGAATGTGTTCGGGTATTACGACACAGAGCACACCAAGAACGTCAGGGATTGGAAAGAGGTGTTTGATTACGCCGTCAAAGAAACCACTCTAGCCGCCGCCTCCGTCGACGACGACGACGACGAAGTGGCTATCTGGGAGAATCAGTGGCCTCAAAACCCTTCGGAAATGAGGTAAATTAGTCGCACATAATTATATTATATCTCAAGGATCACTTCAGATGATAGATCTGAACGTGGGCAATGAGGTTTTGTCATGTGAACCATGTGCAGGGAGGTGTGCCAGGCGTATGCGAAGGACATGGTGGAACTGGCCATGAGATTGTTGGAGCTAATTGCGATGAGCTTGGGGCTACCGCCGAGAAGGTTTGAAGAGTTTTTCAAGGACCAAACCAGCAACGTCAGACTAAATCGCTACCCACGTTGTCCGTCGCCTCACCTCGCCCTCGGCGTGGGCCGTCACAAAGATGCTGGAGTTTTGACCATCCTCGCTCAGGATGACGTAGGTGGGCTTGAGGTGAAGCGAAAATCCGATGGTCAATGGGTCGGAGTCAAGCCCATACCCAATGCTTACATCATCAATGTTGGTGATGTTATCCAGGTACATAAACTGACACACACTCTCCCGTAAATATTATGAAATACTCAGCGCTAAGTTGGAATGATATTGAGGGTGTGAATGGGATGAAACAGGTATGGACGAACGGAGAATATGAGAGTGTGGAGCACAGAGTGATAGCGAACTCGGAGAAGGAAAGGTTTTCGATACCATTCTTTCTGAATCCGTCGCACTACACAGTGGTGGAGCCTCTGGAGGAGATTACCGACGAGCAAAACCAGCCCAGGTACAGGCCTTACAACTGGGGCAAGTTTCAACTCACCAGGAAGCGTAGTAACTTCATGAAGCTCGACTGTGAAAATATCCAGATCCACCATTTCAAGATTTATTAATTAGTCCCTTCTTCGTGTTTAGGGAGTTTTTCTGAGCGTTAACGGACAAGTATGGAACCTCGCCGAGTCAGAGGTGTTGACGATGACAAATGCATTCCTTTCTTATGTAAAATGAATATATTTAACTGAAGAGCTCTTACATATGTGGGAGGAAATAATATTAATGCCCTAATTGCGTTTATCTTCTCTCTGTTTATCTTTAGTTGCGTTTAGCAAGGTTGTGACATATTTCCAGACGCAACATTTAAATAGATATATACTTACTGTCGACATTGATTTTTACTTTTTTATTTTTATTTTTGGGTAGGATGTCGACAGTGAAATTTGAATCGACAAGGTCCACCTTTTCTTCTTTGCATTTACGTACCTTTTTCTGTTTTGTTGACGGAAGATGGGCTAAGGCTCGAAAATAGACTCAAGCTCCTCGGCTTCACAGCCATAATGCAGGCCTGTTGGACTGGGGCCCAAAAACATTCCATATATTTGAGTTAACCCTTACGTATAAGTTCTAATGACAATCAACAGGGATTAAATTTAATAAAAGTAGCATCTCTCTTATAACATGATAAATTAAGCTTGATTTCTCGTTGGATGAGATGTCTACATTTAATGCTAGACCTTGGTTTAAAGATAATTCCTTCAATAGAAGGATATCTATAAATAATAATAATAATAAAAAAAAAAGCTCCAATGACAACTTGTAGGAGATTATCTCTATTGTCTAGAGGTTGCTCCTCATACTTTTTTTTTTTAAAAAAGGTCAATCACAATATTCAAAGCTGATGTTCCGACAAGAAAAAATAGGGAAAATATATAAAAAGTAAAAATAATAATTGAATAATAGAGAGGTATGGAGCTCCATTCAAGTCACCCTATGGGCAGCCTTGACATTATATATACTGTGTAAGCATTTATGCAACATATAAAATTATATTTAAATCTATTGAAATTGAGATTAATGAAATTATATGAATTTTCCTTTTTCAATATTTTCATTTATTTTGTTATTTTTTATAAATTATAAAATCTTCTATTTCTTTATTAAAAAAAGAAAACTGCACATAAATTAATCAATCTCAATTTTAAAAATCCTATAAAATTTATAGCAAAATATATTATTGACTAGTTATGATAATATGATTGTGTGTGTGGGGGTAGTTTTTCTGGATAAAACTGTTTATGGTTAGATTGATTTTCTGTTGGGTGAAAAAGGATGGGCTAGAGCCTAAAAATTAAAAAAAAAAAAACAAAATAACAGGATAGGACAAACCCCATGACATTCCAAGTTCCAACCATAACCTGAGCCTTCTGGCCTCTGTGCTTAAACGTGTCACGAGCCCTAAACTCCAGCCCAAATATCAGCGGGAGTGGTGCTAAACTCTAGAAAAACAAAGGAGGGATCCTAACATGTTTTGAGTCTAGTAGAACAAATTAATTTCTGACATACTTTATCCATTTTTATTTTTAGAAAAAAATTATACCATACACTTTAAAAAAATCAGCTAATTACATTAATTGTGTTTTGAAAATAAAAAAATTAATCTACAATACTCATTTTATTAATTGTGTTAATCAAGCCTTCATTAATTATTTTTTACAATTATAAATGATAAAATTATGAGGGATAATTTAAAAAGTTTGTAATAAATACCTATTAAAAAATATAACTTGCTTATATAAAAAAATTAAAAATAATAGTTTCTTTTATAAATAAAAATGGAAAGAGTAGTAACTTAAGATTCAAATATTCATTAAGATAAATGTTTGTATTTAATATTTAATAATGTCTTGAATATGATTATTTCTCCATAGGATAATATCTGTACACAACGATGATTTTCACCCAAAAACCCCAAATGATAATTTGGCTGTGGCCACGTCAAAAGAAAGCTCTGTATTCTGTATATGCATATAAGCACCACATATTTTTTTTCTTTTTGAAGTTTGAGGCAAAATAACAAACCACAAAGGCAGAAACTAGCTGCACGCACCCACATATATGTTCACTATCTTCCATGGCTGCAACAGAAAATTCAGTACTGGCCACGTATATGTTCGCATTGATCGAAAAGTATATTTAGTTATCTTAAATAACACTATCTTTAATAAATATCTCCCAGTGCCAAAAATAAACCCGTAAATAACCATATGTTTTTATTTGAGTGTTGCATGCTTTTAGCGATACCAAAAAAAAAAAAAAAACGCCCAAGCAGGGGAAACTGTAGTAACTTAGTGTTGGAGTCATGAAAGCCCAAGGGGCTCCACTTGGAGAGAGATTACAAAACTAATAGCCCATATTTGATATACAAATCTCAATTTAAAAAGATTAAAATTGAAATTGAGACTGCAATTGTTACTAGAATTAAAGTTGGGATTAAAGTTTTAAAAGTATGTTTGGTAAGGAGTAATATTTGGAAGGAATATTTGTAATAACTTTATTTTATAATCAATCCGAAATTGTAAAAAGACAATATGGCCCTTACTAAAAAAAATGCAATCTCAAACTCATATATGGAACTCTAAAGAAGTATTTCGTTTTCACAAGTCCAGCCACAAGCTTGAATCTAGGCGTTCTCAATATCATACACACAACAACAACTTGAATTAAATCAGAGAATGACTTGCATCACATCCTTAAGGGAGATGACTTGCAATCTGGAGGGCGCTTGACTAAGAGAAGGGCAAAGGGTTAGAGGCGAGATGAAGATGCTCAACTAAAAGGCAGAGGGAGAGAGATGAGAAGAGACAAGACATGGGGGACATTTTGGTAAGAAAAATAATCAACCTAAGATTAATTTTGATGGGACTAACCAATACAAGGGGGTAGTGGGTTTGGGCATTCCCTCACCTAAATGGCATTGAGTAATCCCAAGTATTGATGAATGTCTCATACCAAATATGTGAAAGGTGAGATTACTTTACCTAATCTCTGTACCAATTTTTAAATGTTGCGTATCAAACGAGTGTCTCTCTCTTTTCAACCAGCATGGAGCTGGACTTTCTATTTTTAAATATGGGTGTTCAAAATAATATTTTTTCCAAAAATTTTAATTATCAAATGACTTTCTTCTTAAATTCTTCTTATTAAAATTCGAGCATTGGGATATAAAAACAAGTAAGGACGATATTATTAATAATTAAATAGGGAGAGAGGTGTTAATTAGGGGATAGATCTAAAAAATAATTATACTTGATACAGACTTTAATTTGTTTCTTTAATATATATGAAGTAGGTATTTGCAACTTATCCTCCCTCTGGTCCCAAATGCAGTAACTAATAACTCACTTATAGAATCATAATAGATATTGAGAAAATTAGTTAAGTTAATCACATGAAAAAAATGCATGTTCATTTTTTAAAAAATTACCATACCTTTGAAGAAGCATTGAAAATCATTATTATTGATTGCTAATTGCTTACTATTATATTTTCTGTATTGCTCATGGGTATTATTTTATTGAAGATTAATCATATTCGAGGCATAGTCGAATACCAAATATGTGAACCTTTTTTAATGAGAATCTGAACATTGGTTTATCATATTATAAGATACTTACTCTTTTTGTTAAACTCATGGTGCTTACTATTGTATTTTAATTAGTGAAAAAATAACAAACATGGAAGATAAAGAAGATTTAAGTTTTATATTCAGGGTCAAAATAAAATTTTCAACTAATTTGCACATTTAGATTTGGGATTTGGCATTTGGCATTGTCCTCATTTCTTCCCTCTGCTCTTTCTCAATTCCCACAAACGAACAAACCCTATTACCCCTTTGAATTCCAGATCAAAGGACGTGCGTGTCTGTGACCAAACACTCGTCTTGCTTCAACAATTTTTTTTACTTCTTTTTGCTATTTTATACGTTTATATGTTCCATAATCTATGCATTGCAAAATGTGTTCCTATGTAACCTGAAATTAAAAATAAAATATTTTTATTTTCTATCTAACAAATTTCTAGATGAAAAAGACTTAAATTAATTATTGTTAAAAAAAAATGTAAAGGAAGGTCTCTCAGATGCGTCGTCTGTCTACATGTCACATGCTCTCCTGGATCACAATCTTCAACCTCAATATATAATCAATCCTTGTCCATATCTAAACAAAGCATTGTTGGCACTTTAACATCATTCCTAAACATAACGTGTCACCTTTAAGTTTTTTTTAATTAATTTATCGTTGCCTATTATCAATATCCTTGCAGTCTTAATCTTGGACACATCCACTAATCACATCCCCTTTTACCGAAAATTTCTACCATTAATTGCTCCATTCTATTTTACTTATTTTTGGTGTGGAAATAATTGAAGAAATGCCAAATAAATCAATATCTCATTAATCATTGCACTATCAATAATTTTTACCTTCGGCAATTGCCGTTGCCCTGGGTACAAAATTAAGCATTGCACCATCAATATAGGTTTAGTTTTTAAACATAGTCTAAGTAACTGTTACCCAAAGGTTTTTTTTTTTGGCCACAAAATATTATCTAAATAAAGTGCAAGACAACGGTTTTTTAACAACTTTTAGCAACTTATAACTGTTAAAATTCACAAGACAATGGTTTTTTTAGCACTTTTAACTGTTAAAATTCAAAAGAAAACGCTGGTAAAAAAAAAAATCAAAAGAAAACAAAAGCAAAAGCTGCAATCCTATGCCGGTGTGTCCGGGGATTCCATTTTCATCATGACTATTAATACCCATGCCATGGCCCCGTCGGCCAACTCACTGTTTTTTTTAATATAATATAATATATTATGTCATAATTCATAAATATAGTTTCTCTTTTTATCATTAGTTTTGTCATGTCAAGCTCTCTGCTCATCTCCCTTTCTCTACGTTTTTTTTATTTTAAAATAAAAACTGATTTTTTTAACAAAAAATTGCATTCATAATCTAAAAATAAGATAAAATTTTAGTTAAAGATTACTACAAAGACTTAATTTTATATAAATTTAAAAAAATTTTAAAATTTTAATTCAGTTCAAGAGAAAGATTAAAAGAATTTTAACAGTAAAAAAATTAAAATGCTCTTCACTTGTTATATAAAATCACTAATTGTTAATTTTTTTATTTTATTTATTAATTTATAAATATGAGTTGCAAATTATATGAGTTAATATGTCAATAATTATATAAAACTTGATATCAGTTTTTCAATCATAAGACAGTTACATC